CCATCAACAGATGATTGGATAAAGAAGATGTGGTATATGTATGCAATGGAATACTACTCAGCTATAAAAAAGACAAAATCGTCCCATTTCCAACAACATGGATGGACCTGGAGGGTATTATGTTAAGTGAAATAAGCCAGAGAGAGAAAGACAAACACTGTATGACCTCTCTCATATGTGGAATATAAACCAACACACGGACAGAGAGAACAGTTTGATGGTTACCAGGGGTAAGGGAGTTGGGGGGTGGGCACAGGTGTGAAGGGGTGCATTTATATGGTGACTGACAAATAATAATGTACAACTGGAATCTCACAATGTTATAAACTATTATGAAACCAAAAAAAAAAAAAATAGAAAGAAAAAAGGAAGAAATGAGTCTCAGGCAAAACCTTGGTGACCTCAGATGGGTGTGCCTGAAGGATATATTCAGTGTCTCTGGTGGGGGCACCCTTGGCTTTTTTGGGTGGGACTAGTGGTTCTGTGGTTGGTCATATGGACGGTTACATCCCTGGCCCCATCCATGAAACGCCAGAGGTGCCCCCAGGTATGTGACAACCAAAAACACACTCACTCCCACATTTCCCAACACTCCTGGGGGATGACACCAGCCCCAAGAGAACCATGAATGTAGAGGGGTGCCCAGAAGTGGAGGTGGGAGGCACAGCGGGGTCCCAGATGGGACAGCTGGGCTGTGGGAGAAGAGGATCTGATCGGTGACACTACACGACCCCCCAAAGTGCTCAAATTGGACGTGACAGAGTGAGTGAGGGTGGTATTTTTCAGAGCCAACAGAACAGGGTGAGATTACCCTGGAGGGAGATAAAAGAGATGGCTACAGTAGTGATAAGGTACTCCAATGCCCATTGGTCACTACCATGAACTTTGGGCCTTACAAACGGGGCTGCACAGGATCCTCTGACAATCCACAAAGTACGTAATCATTCCCTTTTACGGACGAGGAAACAGAGCTGGGGTGGTGAAGTGGTGGTCTCAGTGGAACAGAGGTAAAGGGGACAGCGGCTCTGGGGCAAGGATGAGGGACCTTGAAAGAGGGCTATTCTGAAACAAGAGCAGGTAGGACGAAGTAACAGTCCGGATGGGAGGGTGGGGTGGGGGAGGAGTGGGAACTGATGACCGAGCTGTTGGAAGAGGAGGAGGGGACTCAGGTGTGCCCTTTCCCTTTCAGCCGAGGGCAGACCAAGTGGCAGAGACTCCAGCAGGCAGCTGGAGCTACGAACCGACTGGGATGGAGACAGGCTCCCGGCAGCTGCCCTTCCGGAGCTCATGCTCCCCAGGGGCACGAGAACAGCAAGGAGCCTCCTCGGGGAGCCAGATCTCCATTCTGGAGGCGGATGCCTCTTGGACATCCGAAGCAAACCTCTTCATGCACAGCAGCGAAGACTCAGCAGCTCCCTAGGGCCCCACAGACAGTCCTTGAAGCAAGAGGCAAGAAGGCAAGTCACTGTGACCAGATGCGCAATCCTTGGATGAAGTCTTATGTGGCCTTTAAAGGACTCAATGATATGAGAACAGAGACACACGAGGGCGCTCTAACCAAATAGCAGGCGAGGAAACTGGTCAGTCTCACAAATGGCAAGAGGGTCAGTATTTTGGAAAACCTTTGGTTTAGTGTTTCTCAGGGGAGTCACCACTGGAACTCTGGGCAGGATGCTTCTCCTCTGGGGAGAGGTGTCCCCACCATGGCAGGATGTTTGCCATCCCTGACCCCTCCCCATCACTGTGACAACCCAACTCCCCAAGTTTTGTTTCCAAACAGCCCCTCTCCTGAGAGCCCCTGCTGGTCAGTGCCACCCACCAGTGGCCTTGGGGAGCTCGGCAGTCTCTGTTCTCCCCAGCTTCACAGAGGAATCCGGCACCTCCCACTTTGACCCTGGGAGCCAGGCACCTGCAGGGGCTGGAGAATCGCAGGCCCCCAGTGACATCCCGGGGTGGCTGGAGCTCGTGGGGATTGTCCTCTGTGGCAGGTAGGTTTTCCTCCATGCTATCATCCTTCAGGACTGGGTAGGACAAGGGCTGCATGGATAAAACTGGGGACACAGACACAGGACCCTGGGACAGACATCACGGGACCTGCTTACAGACACCACATCCCAGGGAGCAAACAAGTGGTCACATAGAACACAGCTCGCATGCAACTTCCACAGAGCAAGTCTGAAACCAGGCCCCCTTCTGGAGCCCAAAGGGCCCCACCGTCGTGAGTTCTGAGATGCTCAGATCATCAGGTTTCCAAAGACAAGCACCAAAGGTAGAAAACCAGGGGTGATATTCTAAATATTTACCAACCAATGAGTCCTGGACCCCGGACAGTCAGAATGGAGACCAGTGTAGACAGCTGGTGCAAGCAGTGCGCCATCAGCCCTGCAAACAGCCCAGTCAGCCGAGCCCGGGTCCCCCGTGGGACGCCAGGCATGCCAAGGTGGCTGCTTAGGCAGGACGGAGGTGGCTTTTTGCAAACATACACCAAGGTAAATGGCAGGCCGGACAGGACTTGGGAGACTCGCTATCAACCCAATGCAGGGACTAGAAACCCAGCCAGCATCTGAGGAAAGATGGGCTGGAGAAAGACCCAGATGGCTCCAGTCCTCAGCACATACCCAGCATCCCACGTCCCCCACCAAGGAGCCAGGCATTCTTAAACAGAGGTGGCCTGGAGTCCCACAAAGGTGTCGCCTGCTGGAAGCCCAGGGCACCTGTGGACATGGCCCTGCGGTTGAGACTTCACTGCCTCTGAACACAGACGGCACCATCCCCAGCCTGCTGGCAGGGCGCAAGAAGCAAACATGGCCAACCCAACGTGATTCTTACCCTCCTTCAAAGATCTTGATCCTCGCCGGCTCCCCTCTCTTGGAGGCAGGAGCGTCCTCCTCCGGCTTCCCTCGCTTCTCTTCTTCCTTCTCCACTCTAGCTATGTCTTTCTGGCCTTCCGGGGAAACCAGCGAAGGGAGGTGAACCTGGCCCACCGCAGAATGACAAAATCATTGCCGGTTAAATGGTAATAAGGGAATGCTGCCCTCGATGGCATTGCACACGTATACTTAATCATGGCTCACTTAATCTTCACTGTACCCCGTGAAGAGGTGCTATTAGCCCCATTTCACAGAAAGAAGGAAACTGATCCCCAGAGAGATGAAGTCTCTTATTCAAGGCCACGAAGTCATAGGGTGTCAAACTGGGACTCTGACCAGGTCTTTCTCACTGGAAGACCAGGCCCTCATACGAGAGCTGTGTCTGCTGCTTCTTTCACACTAGTCTAGGAGCTTCTGGGGACAGGTCCTTATCTGGGTATCCTCGGTCACACCAGCACCCAAAACAGGGCCTGCCTCAGAGAGGGCACCTAAGGAATGCTGAACAAATAAATGAGGACTCCACCTTTGGAGATGAACTTGTCCAATTCTCTGTTACAGATCAGGGAGTCAAGGTCCTCCAGCAGGTCAAGAAGGGCATTGCTGGGAGCAGAGGGCAGGTCTCCTGAGGTCCTGACCTAGAGTCCCCCAGAGCTAGGCACAGAGAGGCTGTGCCAGCCCACTGATGCGCATGCCCCTGCGGGGTGGGTGCAGGCTCTAAGGGAACCATTCTGTTCACAGAGCGATGGGCTTCCGTGGTGCGCTCTGGCTCAATGAGGAGAACATGTCCTCTACACCCCCTGAGGGCAGCAGGGGGTGAGCACACCCTTGAACAGGGAGCAGCTGGGGGCCAGGGCCAGCAGTGTTGGGAATGAGATTCTCATCCTACTTCATGTCAGTGTCATTACGGTCATGAGAAACTGCACTGTTTACTGCCAGCAGGACAAACAACTGTGTCTCCTGGTGCTGGGACAATCTAAGAACTGAGTCCCCTGTGCAAGCCACCACACCTGCCTGCTACCAGAACAGATTGGGGCTGAGCAGAAAGGTAGCCAGTTGGGAATCAAGGAATCTGAGTTCTAGCAACACATAGGCCACTGCATACTGAGCCACGCTTTGGCGGATTACTTCACCTCTCTGGTCCTCAGAGTCTGAGAGGATTTAGACCATCTTGAAGATTCTTTCCAGGACCAACTTCTATGGCTTAGTGACCTCCAAACGATCTCTTCAGAATTGGAGATGCGGAGTGAAAACCAAGTGTGGGTATGGACCACTGCTTTGCAGAAGGCAGCTGATTTTGAGCAATACGCATGGATTTCCAGAGCATGCTGTTTTCACTCCCATCTTGGCCTGCCATCTGGGCCATCTGTGGAGTGACCACGGGGCCTCGCCCAGGCTGATGCATGACTTCTCTGTCACAACCAGCTGTGACGTCTGGGCCAAGCTGGAGGAGGCTGGTTTTGGTGGCAATGAGCCACTCCACCAGGAAACACTGCTGGAACTGAGCAGGCGGACCAGGGATCCACTTTGACTTTTAATGACAATAGTATGAATAACTATAGGTAAAAACAGTCATTGAGTGCCAATGTGCCAAGCACTGTTCTAAACACACTTTGATACTGTAACTCATTTACGCATCTCCACAGTCCTATGAGCTAAGTGTTATTATTATTTCTATTTTACAAATGAGGAAACCAAAGCACAAAGAGGTTAAGTTACTGGCCCAAGGTCACACAGCTAGTGATGTAGAGGGATTCAAATCTGGACCCCCTGGCACTGGAGTCCTCATTCTTAATCTCTCTGCAATAGTGCATGTGGTTGTCAAAATGATCCACCAGGAGAAAAAAGGAAGGAGAAACCCAGGGAACAGAACGTGGCTGCAAAGTGAATTCCTGTATAGCTTGGGTTTCTCCATGGCTTACGCATGGCAAAAAATATCTGTGACCAAACTCAAACCTGATGGGGTGGCCTAGACTTGCATGAAGATGGTTAGGAAGAGCTTTAAAGAGAATGAAAGCTATAGGATGACAAATGTCAGCACAGTATAAAAAAGAATTTTCTTAAAGCTCTGTCCAAACATGGGTTGGGCTGTACCAAGAGGTGGTGAGCTCTCCATCACTGGAGATATGCAGAGACCAGAGACAGATGTAATTGTAGCAAGGCATCAAGCAGTGGACCATGCAGCTACATTAATGCACCAGACTGGTGCACTTCTGGTAGAAAACATGCCAGTGAATCAAATGGAATATTCCAAGAAAAAGTTTGCAGATTTCAGCTCATTTTAGGAAAACAGCATTTTAAACAAATAATTGCTAAACCCAATTAAGCCAAATTAACTCTTCCTTTTTCCTAAATGACCTTTTAGTGTTCAGTATTAAAAGAGGAAGGCAGTCCACATCATCCAAATGGGCTCTGAGTGAGAAGCAGTTTTGAATCCAGGCTCTGCCATTTACTGTGCAGCCTTGGGCAAGTTACCTAACTTCTCTGTGCTTTGGTCTCTTCATCCATAAAACAGCAATATAGTACCCTGTATTTCAAGGTGGTTGTGAGGATAAAAGTAAAGTTTAGCACAGTACCTGGCACACAGTAGGTGCACAAGGAGTTATAAGGATGAAGGTAATTACGACAGCATCTTGGGAGTAGCCATGGCCAGTAAGAGACACTGGAGAGCAAATCAGTCATGATGTTTATGGCCAAAGTGGAAATCTCGTTTAGGAATGTCTGCAGACGGATGAGGACATTTAAAGAATAAATTTGGGAAACAGTTCTGTGAAGAATATCCAGCTGAGCTAAGGACGAATTCAATGCACAAGATTCACTCAGTGATTAAAGAGGAGGATATGAGTATAGGAGAAGTTACAGAACACACTTCTGTTCATTCTTCTACAATATGAATTTAGTTTAGGGGATTTATGCTTGATTTGGTCAAAGGAGCAGGTCTGAAGACACACTAATGAATATCTTTAAATTTGCCATCAACTTTTAAGGTTTCTTTTCCTCAAATAATTGAAAAAAGAAACAGACTCTCTGGAGTCAGATAGGTCTGCGTTCAAACTCTCAGTTGGCCAAATATTTGCCAAATGGCCTTGACCTCTCTCACCCTCTGACCCTCAGTTCCCTCTTCTATACAATGGAGATGGTACTGCCGCCTCCCAGGTAGAGAGGAGCATTGACTGGACTCGAGGACCCAGCACAGTGCCTGGTACAGTGAGGCTGCTCCATCAACAAGAGAACTGCTATTCGACAAATGCCATGTCAGCAGACCACATCACGGCCTGGACCCTTAGGCTGGCCTGGTCAGGGTATGGAGGTGTCATTTGTCTGAAGCAAACTTGGAATTATCAAATTTCAAACTCCCTGAACTTGCAGGGATCAGTTCATTTTATGGCTCCTGAAGCAGCCTCAGGTCAGAGGCAATGGAGGGTAAATAGGAGTCCTTCTTCAGGGCCGGGTGCTACTCCACAGCACAGAAGGGTCGAGCTGTGAGTGATACTGTCACCTACTGGCAAAGAGGGTTACTGCAGCCAGGCTCTGTTTGCTACGCTACTGACAGAAAAGAAGGAAGGAATATTTCAGGAGTAGTTTGTGTTAAATTCTAGAATCTCTGGAAATGTAAGATTTCAAGTGGTACCAGAGAACGGAAACAGCAGATGTAGAGAATAATAAAAGCAAGAAAAGACTAACAGGACAAGGGAGAAACATATGATGCAGTGGCATAAAGTTCTAAAATTGCTGCAGGCTTTCCCATCAGCCAAGTTTCCCAAGTCAGTCTTTTGGGAAATTGGTTTTTTCCTGGTTGAGACTGTGTCTTTGATCTTACAATAGAAGCTAATGGGAAAGCAGCCTCACTTTCAAGTTCACTTTATTGAAATGTATCTAGTCCAATGACGTGTGGACACACTGACAAGAAACCCATTCAACGTGCTTCTCAGTAAGGTGACCAGTCACAGCCGACAGAGAGGAAATCTTCCCACTCATCTGCTCTAGTTTTGCACATAGAACCTGAGGAAAGTGCGGCTTTAAAAGCTCAGCAAAGGTTTTTAAAATCAGCAGGGAGAAGAAAAACAAGGCTGAACTTACCTCTGTCATGCGGGGCTTGCGGGAGCTGGATGGCACAAGCCTTCCTGTCTCAGGATGCAGAGCTGTGGCCATGGTGTATGTCTCTTTGCTCACCTTCTGCTTAGACCTCAGGAGGGACAAAGCAGCTTTAGTGGAAACCCCTGGAAGGTTGGGGTTGTACAAACTTATGCACCAACCAGCGTAAACAGAGGACCTCCTATCTGCATGCTGGATGTGATTTGGCTTAATGTAGTTTAAATAGCACCAACTGACATTAGTGGTCGTGTGGAGGCTGGGGAACTGCAGTACCTTCTTTGAGTCCGTACCTTCTTGCGACTGGGCTGGTCTGGGAGACACTTCTGACAGAGGCAGCGAGCTGGGAGGGGCCAGTGGAGGAAGGTCGGGTTGTTCCTTGGAATTTTCTTTCTTTACACTCAGTGCAGGCAACCCTCTTCGGTGAGGTTTACCAGACGGCTGGGCATACTCCTTCAAAGCCTCTGAGCCTGGGGCTGTCACATGGGGTAACGAGGGGCGAGGAAGGGGAGGAATTTCCTTGGGGTCAGAGGGATCTGAGGACACGCTGGACAGCGTTTCTAGTTCCCTCCTGCCCTGGCCCTGGCTGCCCAAGTGGGCCTTTTCCGGCCTGTTGCTGTCCTCGGTGCTGGTGAGCACCATGCTGCACGGTTTTACCAGCTCTAGTTTTTCATCTGCCTTGGAAGCCTCCTCTTCCTTCACCCTTTTTTGCTGCTGGGTTTCCATGGTAAGTTCAAGGCTGCCAGCTGGTGAAAGGACACGTTTGCTTCCCCCTACTGTTGATGAACTCCCCTCCAGGCTCAAGACACTCTCTGATAACAGGGAAGTTCCTTTTCTTCCGGGTAATGCCACAGGCACTCTCAGATGCAGAGTCTGGAAACCTCTGCTCTGCTCTCCACTTACCGCAGCTGTGCTGGGCCTGACCTCAGGCACGCCTGCCCCACACACAGTCGTCTCTTTGCATGTGGGGTCCTCAAGCTCGGGAAGAGCTACAGTTGCTGAGCTGCCTTGGGACTGAGTGACCAGGCTCTGGGAGAGGGTGGTGTACATGGCGCTCCCGTAGGATGGCATATTAGTCTGAATGCGGACGGGCACAACCAGGGACACCATGGTGTCTGGACAGGCAGGCAGAGCCAGCGGAGGGGCTGACACAGGTGCCGAGGAGCTGGCCAGGGGAGCCACAGGGGGCAGCTGGATGTCACTGCTGTTCTCTGTGCTGGGGGAGAGGCCAGTGGTTCCTGTTGCCAGCGGGGCCAGGCTGGTTTTGATCTGGGGCAGATGGCTTTCCACATTGCCAGGGAGCTGAAGGGTGAACTGGGATTGCAGAGGCAGGAAAAACCCAGAAGAGAGTGCTGAGGTGGCCGGGTATGGCATGGGGAGAAATGCAGGGGCCTGGCGGAAGGGAATGTCAGCTGGGTGCGGCAGGAGCTGGGGGAGGTGGAGTTGGCCTGGGTGCAAAACAGCAGGTTGGAGAGGAAGTGGCGGGGCTTGAAATAAGGCAGGAGGAAGCGGGGGCATGGAGTACGGTGGAGAGAGGAGGCTGGACATGGCCTGGGTGGAGAAGAATTCTGAAGACTGTCCTGGCTCACGCTGCAGGAGGTGCTGGAAGGAGAAAAGGGAGACTGGTGGGGGCAGGTATGGTTTCTCATGCAGGGCAAGCTGGGCAGTGGGGTGGTGGAACACCTGCAGTGCTTCTGTATAGGGTGGAGTGGACCCCAGTGGAGGTCTGTCCTGCACCTGGCTCTTGTCTCCTGGGTGCCGGCTGGGCGAGGTGGCCGCTGAGGAAATCTGGGGCAATGAGCTTTTGGCCGGAGGTTTGCAGGATGAAGGCTTTGGGTCCTCGTTCTCCTGTCTTCCCTTGGGGGTGGCCTCTGGCTCCGTTTCTGGAGGCCTGCTCAAAGAGACCTGTCTCACCAAAAAGCATTTTCTTCTCTCTGGCGGGGCTGCTGGGGCCGCTGGGGCCGGCACAGAAGGGCCTGTCAAGGACAAGCTGCCGTAGTCGAACGATTTGCTGCGTGTCTCGGTCATATGTGCAGAATGGGAAACGTTAGGGCTCTGTTCCGAGGCTGACCTGCGCATCTCTCGGGCATGTGGGTGGTGGCTGGGGACAGTCAGCATGTGGGTGCCCAAGGGTTTGGAGCGCATGTCGGATGAGGGCCCTGGGGCCTCAGCTTTGCCATGGTCATCCCTCTCGAAGGAGGCGGAGCGGCTGGACCCGCTCAGAGAGACACTGCTCTCCTGGCTTGGGCTGCGAGACAGCGGCAGGGAGGACTCGAAGCTGGACTCCCCCGATGACTGTGCCATCTCCGCCAGGCGCAGTCTCTTCTTCTTGGGTGGCAGCTTCTCTGCCGGGAGCTGGGCGAGCGTCTGGCTGCGCTGGGGCCACTGGAACTCCTCCGTCTTCTCCGGGTCCTTAGGGGTCGGCTCAGGCTCTGTATCCAGCCGGTCGGGCTCCTCAGTCACCAGGATCTCGGGGACCTGAATGTTGGGCTGGCGGACCAACCGGGGCTGCAGGGAGTGCGCTGGGCGTCCATGAGGGGCGGGTGGGGGCGATGGGAATGGCACAGGAGACTTGTCTTCCCCTTCCAAGCCGCTGGGCTGCTCCAGGGGGTCGGACTTCTCGAAGGAGCTGGTGTGCTGGATGACAGAAATTTCTTTGGACGTTGTTCTCCTCTCCTTCCCTGACTCTGAACTGGACCCTGGCTTGGGAGTCCTCGGCTGGAAGCCCATGGGTCCCTCCAGGGAGGGCGCTGACTTACTTGGTTCTGCTGGTGACTTGGTGGACTCCAGGGGAAGGTTCCAAGCAGCATCTGATGGCCCAGGGCTGCCAAACTGACTTTTTGTTGACTCCAAGGCAGGTGGCTCCTCCTCGTCCCCGAGGCTCTTCTCTTTCCTCCTCTTCCTCAGTGGAGTGAGCTCCAGCGTGGCTCCCAGCTTGTAATGCATCACGTGGGACCAGGGCTCATGCTCAGCCTGGCTCTTCTCAGCTCCTGGAGGCGCGTGGGCGCCCGCAGAGACGGGCTTTGCGATCTGAAGCTCTGAGCAGTAGTACTTTTTATGGGCTTCATAGTTGTCCCTTTTCTTGTACCGAGCACCACATATGTTACATTCATAGATCGCCCCTTTCGTTTTCAAACCCTTCTTGGTCTTTTTGGTGAGTTCACTTTCCTTGGGTTCCGGTTCATCTGCGGGTTTGGCGGCTGTGTCTTTGCTACTCGGCCCCGCCTCCTCGGCGCTATACTCCCCTCCCAAGGGAAGTTCGATGGCCGGCTGGCGCTTGAGCATCCGGGGGTGGGAGGTAAACACTTGACTGCTGCGGCTCAGGGCTTCAGGGTCAGCGATGTGGTCGTCAAAGGAGTAGCTGCCTCGGAAGGGGTGGTGGGGCGTGCCGAGGCTGCAGGCGGCCGAAGGCATTGAGTGGCTTCTCAGCAGAGGCACAGGCGGGGCGGAGCTGGGCGGGTGCTGGAGGCTCAGCAGTGACGGTTCAGGCTTCGTTTTCTCACCGTGGAACGCCAGAGGCTCCCGGTAGAGGCTGGACTTGGGGGACTCCACACTGCTGCGCCGCGTCAGCGAGCTCCTCCTGGGCTTCACGCTGTCTATCTCACTGGTGTCCACCACTGCCTCGTTGATGGTGATGAGCTTGGTGATGTGCTCAATCACCTGCGTCCGGGGCACAGACAAGGGCACCAGGCTGGGCTTGTCTTCGGTTGACAGGGGCAGGAGGGGCTGGGTGGAGGGGGCCGTCAGCATGGTGGTCCGCTGCCCAATCCTCCCACACTTGCCGAAGATGATCTCAGCATAGGATCTGGCGTTGGTGTTGGGGGGACTGGCCTGCTGCTCGGCGCTCTCGGAGCGGGAGAAATACCCAGATTCCGTGCTCCCTTTGCTGCCTGGGCTCAGAAACGCCTGCTCGTCGATGACCTTTTTCCTCTCGCTTAAGCGAAGAGCCAGCTTCTGCTTTATCGTGTGGGTGTCTTCGTGTTTATGGCTCAGGGGGAGTTCAGATGTGGGCTCCGCGAATTGAGTGGGGTCCTCGAGTGACTGGGCTGAGCTGGACTGGGACAAGGAACAGCGCTCGTGGCTGGAACCCTGGCTCCCAGAGCTGTACAAACTGCTGGACAGGAGGGGCTGCTTAGGTCTAGGGGAGAGCTCTGCAGGGTGAGTGGATGTGGTGCCTGTCTCCTCTTCTGAATCTGTGCTCTCTCCCTCAGTGTGCTCCTCAAACTCCTCCCCTGGGATCCTCTCCATCTCCAGCCCCGGGGAGTACGTCTCGCTGCCCATTCCCGAGGCCAGGCCAGCTTTGATGCGGTGGGCATGGGACTTCCTGTGCTTGTAGAGGTTACTCTTGGTCTTGAAGGAGAAGCCACAAGGGCCGCAGGGGTAAGGCCTCTCACCCGTGTGCGAGCGGATGTGCTTCTGGAGCACGCTGGGCTTGGCACAGGGCCGGCTGCAGTACTGGCAGATGTATTTGCCCGGCTTTTGCGGCTTCCTCTCCTTCCTGTGTGCCTCTTCTGCAGGCTTCAAGGACACCTGGGAGGGATGGGGCACGTAGACTTTGGGAATGCCAGGCAGGTCCTCGGGGGGAACGATGGAAGCGTGGGAAGGGAGGAGCTGGCTCTGAGGATGGAGCCCAGGGGTCACGAAGGAGCCTGAGGGTCCGGGTCTCATGGAGTCAACCAGCTGCCACGTGGAGCCCTCCAGGAGATGCTCAGGTTTGCCAGGTGACATGAATGCTGGCGTCAGAGGGCGCTGTGGGAGCTGCGCAATGTGGACAGAGGCTTCCATGGAGGACCTCTTGGGGGGCTTCTGCAGCTGGCCCGTTTTCTCCTGAGAGCCTTCCCTAAGAACTGATGAGGGGCCCAGGAAGGGCTGCGGGGCGAGGAGCTCTTGGAGGGGGCCCTCTTGGGTGGTGGCTGTGCTGCTGCCTGGGTACGAGGCGCCGGATGAAACACTGGTCTGGACGGCCTCTCCTTTGGTCAGCCGCTTCCGGGGACTTCCCTCAGCCTTCTTGGTGCTCTTGACACTTTGTTCAGGATCCATGACCTCCAGGGAGACTTCAGATGCTATTCAGGGAGGGTCAGGGCAGGCTGCATTTACGAAGAATCCAAGTGTCCCAAGGAGGCATCTGGTTTTGGCCACATTGGTCAAGAGCTGAGGAAGCCCAACCAAGGACGGCTTTGGGAGTTTTTTTGCAAGTGTTGCTGGCTGTGAGTGGACTCGGAGCAGGTCATCAGGGCCCAAACCATTCACGTCGGTGAGGCATGGCCCTCTACTTGGCAGACAGAAAACGCGCCAGCACTTTCTGCCTGAATGTCTGTTGCAGAAATGTCATGAAGGACGTCAAGGTTGCCATCGTATTGTTTCAGTTGGCAGTGGCAAGTGGCCCCCTACGAGTCTCCTTTGTGCTCTGTGAACTGCTGAAGGCTGGAGACGTCTGGGTGCATGGCCCGGTCATCCCTGGTCCCGGCAAGAGAGAAGCCACGCTGGACGCCACAGACGGCTCTGTTGGCCTCTTCTGCCCTTTAGCCCCGTGCTGGAGACTGACGGCCGTGGAGGGGAATTCACGCTCTTCTACTTGACAAAGCACACACACAGAAATACACACACAAAAGAGAAGAGAGAGTTACTGTGACTTGTCCACAGCCTGAGCAGTCAGACAGTGAGACTGAGGAGACCTCTAAAAGGGTAACCGTGGGGACTCAGCCGGGACCCACAGACCCCGCTCCGTGCTCCCGAGTGCTGCCCAGCCCGCCCTCACTCGCACTCAACAGTGCTGCGGGTGACTCGAATGCCAGCCGTGCTTCTGAGGACTGCGGCTGTGTGGGGCATTGGGAGCAGAGAGCAGGGCAGTTAGGGAGAGGGGGCCTGTGCAGGAGACTCCGAGCGGGTTTCAGCTCCCTGAAGCTCAGCTGCCTAATCTATAAAATGTGATAACAGCAATTCCTGCCTCAACCGCGCCTCAGGGCTGCAGTGGGGTCCAACACGACAACGGATGTGGATGCCGCTGGACGAAGGCTGACCAGTGCTGAGGCTGGTGCAGGAGGAGGTGCTGGTGGGTTATTCAGGGATGAGCTTTCCAAGGGGTGGACTATTGTCAGGTTAGTATCACTTCCTCTGGCCCGGGGTTCTGAAGGTCCGTGAGGGGCATCATTCACGGCTTTCACTCCCTTGCTAACCCACCTCCCGAGCCCATGTTTCACGGTGAAGCTAAAGCCACTGCAGCAGCCTGTGGGAGCTCAAGGCTGACACAGCCGTGGCTCGGAGGATCATTTTGGCAGGTGTTTCCAGCTTTGTAGCCTCTCCTTGTCCAGTCAGTGCCCCAGAGATACCCTGGAAGTGGTTCAGAATGGGGCTCCTGTCAAGCTGAGAGGCAAAGTGGGTCTGAGTGGAGCCCCGAGTGTGCGCGTCCTCTAAGGGCCAGCCGAAAGTGGGGCCGTCTAGGCTTCCTGGGCTCCGAGGGCATCTCAGGGCCACTCTCCCCAGGAGCACAGTCAGAATTTCAAAGCTGGAAGTCACTGTGGACTTCCTCTCAGCCAGCCACCCTACCTTCCAGTGGAAGACACAGGCCCACGGAGGGAAGGTGGCCTGCTAGGGCCCCATGTTGCTGGGTGGCAGGGCCAGCACCTGACCCCAGGCTCCCTGTGGCCGGAGCTCATTCCCCGGCCGCTTCGCAGGTGTCCATCCCCCGGGTGAGAGCATGGGCGAGTGACCCCTGTCTCCGTGGCCTTCCTGCCTCTCCTTTAAGCCTGCCCTGCCGCTGGCACCCTGACCTCAGGTCCCCTGCACGCCCTCGCTCTCACTCTGCTCTCACCAGGTGCTCACTGATGCAGACGTGAAGAGGGCGCTCCTTCCACTGTCATAGGGTGCTCAGAAAGCTAGCAAGTCTGAACTCATAATTTGTCTCAAATGGCAGGACCTTGGACATAGTGACGTGCCATGGAGGGGGCTAAAAATTACATCCTATAAGTTCACTACTTTTGTGTTTCCTTTCCATGTCAGTTCTACAAAGAATTTGAGGTAACCATAAGAAAATTTTATAAATATTTATAAAAGAATGACAAACTATAAATAAATATAAGAAAACTAAATAAGAACAACAAATCAGAACAAAGGAAAATGTAAATAAGGCAGGAAGTCAGGATTGGTGGGATGGAAAGAACACGAGTATAAGGGCTTACAGTATTTCTATAGTTCAGCTATACACATATATCTGAGCTTCCTGGCAGCCAAGGAGAAAAAAGAGAGAGCAAGAGAGAGAGAGATGTTCCATTATAGAGTCTTATAGCCAGAGAGGAAGAAATATCTAAGTTCCTTACAGGAAGCAAAGAGTTGCTTGAAAAGAACTTTTTCATGTGGTACTTCAGACAGGGGCAGCGAATGATACATGAGATCACCTATATCTTCAGATGACATCCCTTCAGCAAATGCAGTGGTGGATTTTTGTCAATGGAAGGCCACAACTCAGAAAAGGTTATTCTTTGAGCAGTTAAAGGCTTCCTTTGACTTAGGCAGAGAAGGCACCCCGCCAAAGCAGTGTGAATGTGAGGAAGGCAGGAGACTCTCATTTCATCATATTACCGTCAACAGGGTGACCATGTAAGATATCATCCAAATTGCGGCACTTTTGAGAGTGAGAGAGGCACTACCGATAATTACAGAGGAGCAACAGGAAGAAACCAGGGCTGTCCCAGGCAAATTGGGACAAGTGGCTTCCCTTACAACCAATATACACCTTGTGACCCAAACCTGGCACAGGTGCTGTCTCTGGGTGTCTGGCATAAACTTTTGATTTTCGCTATGAGGACTGAAACTACACCATGGTCTCCTAATGGATTCTTAGAGATTGGTTGTCTAGTCCAGTCCTCTCACTTGATGAATGAGGAGACTGAGGCCTAGAAGGATGATATGATTTCCCTAAAATTACACAGTGATGGTGGCAGAGCTAGACTGTTCTGTGCCTCCCGACCCCTGGTCAGGGCTCACCCCCACCGCGATGGATCAATGCCCTCTGTGACTTCTGTGGCAGAGTGGGCATTGCAGGCTATGCTCCCTGCCCTGTGGACACCCTGGCTTGGCCCAGGGACACGGCTATACCTCCAGGGAGGGGCATCAGTGGGTGTCTAGAGGCTTAACAGCAAAGGCGGCCTTTCAACTAATGTCCTGACCTCTCTGCGGCTGCCGGCCAGGAGAAAGGGGAAGCCTGGCTAAGGCTAGGGAGTCCGTCCTGGTGGCACTACCCCAGGCCTCACTTATCCAAGCTGAGGTGGGCAGAAGTGAGAGTCACTGAAAAGTCACACAAGGCAGACGCCACCTGCAGTGGAGACAGAGACTTGTTCCCCAGCTGGTCTGGGCCTCCTGGGCTGGGCTGCATCTGTGGGCAGAGGCCCTGTGGTAATAAAGCATGGACTAAGGGCTGACTGTACTTACTATTTCCCCTGACCCTGTCCTGCAAGGATCTCAAAGCAACACCAAAGTACTGGCTAGTGGTAAGCCGTTCTTCTTCCAACGGATGGATGGGACCCTGCGGCACGACGGGGTGGTGAATTGTCAGTCTGAGTGGGGGTCAGCTGGCCAAGGAGGACTCTACATTGTCAAGTCCTGCGGTTCTCCCTTGACTGAGCCACAGGTTGCCCAGGGGCAGGTGGGGAAGCCCCCAGCGGCTGGGGTTGGGTAGCCCCCAGGCTGGGCGGGAGGGCGTCGGCTTCCTTTTGCGTCACCAGGGACTCACTGGGCCAGCACCCCCTACACCTGTGAGCTGGCCGGGTGCCCATTGGGGAGGGCCCTCCTCCCTGCATCCCCTGAGGGAGAAGCAGCCAGGACACGTCAGCGCCATCGGCTGCCCGGATCATGGAGTCAGTGAGGCCTGGGGCCGGAAGCCCACCCTCCGTTCTGCACCAACAGCACCTGAGCCACGGCAGACCGTGGCTAGCCCAGGGCCACACTGCTCTCTGCTGCCCTGCTCCACACCTCACCGCAGGTCTGAGGTCCTCACTACAAGGGGCGGTGTGCGGGGGCAGCCGGGACCGTGGGTGCAGACATGGGGTTAACCTACGAGAAGAAGGCCTCCACCTTGAAGTGAATTACAATTCAGAGCAGTGTAAACACTTCTTCACTTAACTCTTTAACTCCTTCAGAAGGACCATTTCTAATCACCGTGACCAAGTGATACTAAGAAAATGGCCCTTTTCTATCTTCTGTGCTTCTGAGAGTATGTGTAAAATTTTAATATAAACGTGAAGTAACAGAGAAAAAAGCTGCTTTTCCAGAGAATTGGTGAGGGCACCTGTAAAAGTCACCAGTGACATGAGGTCAGAGGTAGAGGGTTTCCCTGACAGGGCCCAGGAGCTGGGCCAACACGGTCCCGAGCCTCAGGCCAGAGGGAAGATGGATGTCCTCTGCTGATGGTGGCAGAATGGCCATGGGTCCATGTTGTCTGCCACTGAGGCCACAGCCCTCAGAGGTCTCTGGCTTAGAAACCAGCTTAGAACCACAAGGAGAGCCTGAGCTTCAACAGCCAGTTAGTTAACATATCAGACAACTCAGCTCCTACTTCTGGAAGCTTCCATTGGTCTAGCTGTTAGGACAGCCCAACAGGGAAGAAAGCAGTGTGCCGGGGCTGGAGCCATGAAGGCTCAGGGGAGTGAGAAGTGATGGAGGAGACAACAGGACCAAGGCAAGGTGGCCCGAAGCCCCAAAACCAAACTGGAAAGCACCTTCTATACGCAAGGCATTGGGACAACATGGCCGTAGCCCAGAGTGGACAACCCAGAGGGCTTTACCAGAGGGAGATGGGAGGTGGGCTCCATCAGGTGGACAATTCCACCAGTCTTGGCAGGAAGCCAGCTTGATTCTGCCTTGGGCTCTAGACTAGGGAGCTTGGGTCACCAGCTGAGTTGATAAGACTGAGCAAGATAGGGACAAGGGCCTGGTGCCCAGGGGTATATTAGGTCAATCTGACCCCGGACTAGTGAGGCTTGATAAAGTTCTTTGCTTCTAATTTAGTTTCACACACGTGCATGCATGGACCCCAATATGCTAAAATCTGGTCAAAATTTTTCTGATAGTAATAAAACATACTGATCTTAAAAACACCAGGAGAGTAAGCCTTCTTCCTCACTTCAAAAGCTGAAACCCAGCACAGAAGGCCCCAGGCTGGACAGGAGGCTAGCAATAAGTATTTTCATTTAACAACCCAACAGCCAACCAGTGCCCCTTCTAAGAATCTTTGAGTGTGACACTGTGTGTGTGTGTGTGTGTGTGTGTGTGTGTGTGTGTGCGCAAGATGGGGCAGAATTCTTCACCTGCAAAGAAAAGTAAAATTGGCTGTGGGCTCAGATGGTGGTGAGAGGCTAGAGGTGAGGATGTGGGTCTGGAGACTAATGGGGAGAGGTCGTGAGAGAGCCACAGAAGGAAGTCTGGACAAAGAGAGCAGCCAAGGCCAAGCGTGGGGCTCTGGCTGGGAACAGCGAATGAAGCCAAGACCGAAAATGTCTCCCACCAGCCGCTCCCCCTTCTTTTAGCAATAGAAGCCCCTGAGCTTCAGCAGGCTCTATGGTCACCCAGCTACACTG